ATCTTTTCGAAATACGTCAAATGACACTGTGCGGCGTCCATATTCATCGTCACCGCCGATGCTGAGATCACATATTGTGTACGTGCAGTTCAGCTAGACAAGAATGAAGTATTTGTCACTTCCAGTTTTCCTAACGAATTCTGACGGACTCATCACTGACATTCAATCAGCACCGTCTGCCATGGCCACTCAGAGTGCCGCTCTCGACACAAAATGACTCTCGTGACTGCCTTATTTCACCCACTCGCCCTGTCGTCACGCTTTTTATTTTCCCTCGGCCTTGTTTCGACGGGCAGTCAATATAATTGTTTAGATTGTGGGGATGAATGGGGGAATTGGGGGTGACAACCATTGGTGGACATGCGTCCCCCGTTTTTGCCGGTGTGGCTAAAGTAAACAGTCCTCCCTCTCTCTCTCCACGGGGAAGGCAGATGATAGGCAGATCCAAATCGCTGATGCCAGAAACGGCCATGTTTACTATGCACCGTCCACGGTGCTCTCGCCTGTCTGGCACCACCACGGACATGGCCACCATGCGTGTTCCTTGTGGCCAGGCCTCTTTCATCTATTTTGTTTCTCCCTTCTTCCCTTTTTCCTTGCCTTCGTCTAAGCACCCAATCCTTCGCTTGTTTTGTGCCCGCCCGATCGTGCGCCAATGGGAACAGTAGCAAGTGGCCCTCAGACTCTGGCCGGGGTCTCGGCAGTTTGACTACGTCGTGGCAGGGAGAGCAGAGACCGTTGCCTTGTGCTATATTTGCGCATGCCGGCAGTTAGTAGGAGTGAGAGCGTGTCCAAGATGTGCGTCTCTTTCCGAAAACAAGAATAAATGAGATGCAGCAATACGTGACACCAGTATAGCTGTGAAAGACCAGACGAACAAGCAGTCTACTGTACAGGGAAACCAGTATATGTAGACGTATAACAAGAAGAATCCCGCACTTTCTTTGCTCTGCTCCTTTTTGCTTCCCTCCTCCCGTTGTTCTGTTGTCCTCGTCTCTCCAACCTCGTCCGTTGTCGTCAGCGACATTTCATCGACACTCCGGTAATATCTTTATTCTTTACTGTCGTTTTGTCTGTCCTTATCACCTCCGCCTCCATCTGCCATCATGAAGTCGGCTGCCATCACTGCCGTCGTCGGCCTGCTGGCCCAATCGGCCGCCGCCCAGAACATGCTGCGGTTCGCCTGCTCGCAGCTCGTCGTTGAGCGTACCGACCCCATTGTCAACCCCGGTGAGATCTACACGCCGCACCTGCACCAGATTGTCGGCGGCAACTCGTTCAACGTCACCATGGACCCGGCCAGCCACGATCTGCCGGGCCTGTCGACGTGCACGTCGTGCAACTTCAAGGAGGACCTGTCCAACTACTGGACGGCGGTGCTCTTCTTCAAGGCCAAGAACGGTACGTTCCGGCGGGTGCCGCAGGTGGGCAACGGGGGTCCGCAGGGGCAGCTCGTCAACAAGGGCGGGCTGGACGTGTACTACATTCCGTCGGGCAAGGTGACGGCGTTCAAGCCCGGGTTCCGCATGATTGCGGGCAAGGCGTCCAACACGGACACGAGCAAGGTCAACAAGGGCAACATCTGCCACCGCTGCTGGAAGTCGACCAACGACAACCAGTTCACGGGCGGCGCGCCCTGCACGGGCTCGGACACGGTCGATGTGCCCACGGACCAGTCGTGCAAGATGGTGCGCCAGACCATCATCTTCCCGACGTGCTGGGACGGCAAGAACCTCGACTCACCCGACCACCAGAGCCACGTCGCCTACAGCGGCGCCGGCGCGTCGGGCGGCGGCGCCTGCCCCAGCTCGCACCCGACCAAGCTGCCGCAGATCATGTACGAGCTCATGTGGAACACGTCGAGCTTTATGGACAAGAGCATCTGGCCCACGGACGGCTCAAACCCCTTCATCTACTCGATGAACATTGGCGGCGCGGCCGCGCACGGCGACTACGTCTTTGGCTGGAAGGACAAGTCGCTGCAGCTGGCCATGGACCACAACTGCAACCTCAACAAGGACTGCTCCGCCGCCGGCCTGCACGCGCTGTCGCCCGACGTCTACAGCGCCTGCACGAAGAAGCAGCAGGCGCCCGAGGACGTCGACGGCTGGCTCAAGGCGCTGCCCATGGGCGAGATGGCGATGAAAGCATGAGCGGATGTGGTTGTGAAGACTGTTGTTTGGAAAGCCGGGTCTGGTTCGCGGGTGTAATGGGTTTGATTCTCGGCGAGATCGTTCTGTTGGCGACATCGATTGTCCGTGTGTTGTCGACTTTCCTTTCATTTGTAGCCCATGTCAACAGCAAGTCCAGTCATCCTTGTACATGGATGCCGGATTTCTAGTTAAATATAACTTATCTACATATGTTCTTGTGTATAATGAATCATTATTTTGTAATCATGAGTATTTTTTTTTTCATTTTTAAATTATTATGTTCCCAAAGTCAAAAATAGTTTTTCTTTTATAAGATTCGTAGTAGACTCTCGTTCTATGTTCCACAGCTGCATGTCTTCTTATTCACATCGTACTACGGTTGCATATGTTCTTGCTTCACGTCATACTCTCACTAGTTGTATTCTGTCGTATTGACTGGCAGCTTGCTGGTCTTCCTCTCGCCTCGTTCTTTCCGTCTTGTCAAACCTCCTTTTTCCCGCCCGCCAATCAATTTACACGGTTAAAGGCGGCACCACCATCGCCACCCATTCTCGAAGCGAAGACACAAATTACTCTCCCAATCCGTTATATGGTATCCATTTTCCGCTTCACCTATTTGCAGACGGAGCAATGGCTCCATGATTGTATTTGGACGGCGCCAGGGGAGGACACCATTGCGGTCTGTCCTTGAATTTTTTTTGGTATGTTTTATGTTTTGTTGAGGCCAAGGCTACGTCCTCTTGGCAATGAAAGCCAAGATTCTTCTCATTGTTCTCTTCCTTTTTCTTTGTATGTTGTCTCTTCTGTGCCTCGCGGCTTTAGACATCGTGACTTTGGTCGGGCTCGATGCGTCGACGCTTGTGGGGACATCTATACCTGTAATTTGTCTCCTTACGTAGTCCTTTCCTTCGGCTCGCAGTCGCTTCTCATCCACTGCCCGTTCATCTATTTGTTCTTCTCTATTTTCTTCTACATCTCCACACCACCGGAGTCTGTCTTGCCTTGTCACATGGGACGTCTCCAGCGGCGCAGTCTTTCCTTTCCCATTGTTTTCTCCGTATTTCCACCTGGTCTACCAATTTGTTGCATCACACCCTCACTCCATATGTTCTTAGCCTTCAGCAACCAACCCGGTATGTGGCGGGGCGGAGAGCCGCCCGTCCCTACTCATGAAGTGTACCATGGGTAGTCCGTCGATGTCCGGACAGGAGCAACGCTGGCGAGGCCTCAAGTCCAATCGTATCCTCATTCGTCCCCTCCATCGTCGCCTCTCGCCTCGATCCGTGTCCGGGATCACGTTGCCTGGGCAGTCCGTTGTGTTCTGTCCTTCCTCTCCTGGTTCGTGGGATTGGCCGTTGTCTCCCCGGACCGCCAAGCTAATAAACCGAGATGAAGAAAGAATAAAAGGGCGTCCTCCCGTAGTTGTCGCTGCACTGTTTAATGTTCTTCTTCCTCCCCTGGCTGGGTTCACTAGGCCGACTTGGCTCAACGTTGTCTTCCCACATTAATGTCATTGAATTGTCTTTACCCGCACTCAATCCACGTCTTTAACCATTTTCACTCAATCTTGAGCACTGGACGAGTTCATTCAGCTTTTCTTTCATGAACCTGTTTTGTTGTCGTCCTGGTCCCTGACGTCGTCTTCTTGTGGTTGTCTTCTTGTGGTTGTCTCCTCGTCACCTTGTCTCCTTGTCCCCGTCCGTCCCCTCCGTCCATCGTCTCCAACTCTCGTCCCATCTTGTCTTTACCGACAAGATGAAGTTGCGCTTCTGGGGCGTCGTGGCATGCGTGGCCGCATTGCTGTGTGGTATGTAGTCATGCAACAGACACGAGGCGTTCCGTATGCTTACGCTCTTCCCAGACGCCGTTGCTGCCGGCACGACGGCCTACCACGACCCGCAGACCGGCTTCACGTTTGCCGAGTACGCCATCCAGTACAAGATCGGCCACACGCTCGTGTTTCGCGTCGCCGTGCCGACGCAAGTCACGAGTCTGACGTCGTACGACGCCGTCCTGCAGGTCGTCGCGCCCATCGACGCCGGCTGGATCGGGTTTGCCTGGGGCGGCCGCATGATTGGCGACCCGCTGGCCGTGGCCTGGTCCAACGGCAACGCGGTCGTGCTGTCGTCCCGCCGCGCGAGCGACCACACCGCCGTGCCGGGCGTGTGGACGGGCGCGCAGTACACGGAGCTGAAGGCGGGCACGCACGTCAACGGCACGCACTGGCAGTACACGGCCAAGTGCACGGGGTGCACGTACTACACGAACTCGATGGGCAGCAAGAGCTGGGTGTATGCGACGGGCACGAACCACCTGGCGTTTGCGTATTCGGCCGCGCGGCCGGCGAACCCGTCGAGCGCGGGATCGAGCCTGACGATCCACGACGTGACGAACAACTGGGAGCACGACTTTTCGGTGGGCCAGAATGCCGACTTTGCGGCTCTGGTGACGAAGAATTCGTAGGCGCGGCTGGACGGGACTGTACATAAGCAGCGACAGCATTAGAATACATGTGCATTTTGGTTTCTCTGCATTTCTGTTTTTTAATTTTTAATTTTATTTCTATTTCTATTCCCACCTCCTCTGGTTAAACGATTACCCTCGACTTCTACAATTGGCCGACTCGGCTACACTGCCGTCGTTTAGCGGCGCTGTTGACTTCAGCTTAGCGGCGAGGAGCGTACATCTGCTCTCCGACCGTCGGACTTCCTCGTCCTCGTCACGTCATTCTCGTCACGTCGTCACCTCGCCTTCCCTTTTCTTCCTCCCACTTTGTCCCAGCAACCTCTCAACCTCTCACTTTAACCACCAGCACCGCACCCCCCTGCACCGCACCCCAACGACACCATGTCCATCACCGGCATCATCCACGTCAACCTCGTCGTCCCCCGCGACACCCTCGACGCCGCCCACGCCTTCTACGGCGACACCCTCGGCTTCACCTCCGTGCCCGTCCCGGCCCTCCAGCGCGGCCGCCTGGCGTGGTTCAACATTGTCGACCAGCCGGGCTCGCAGCAGATCCACATTGCCTTTGGCCGCGACTTTGACTTTGAGGGCGACGCCACGGCGTCGTCGCGGCACCCGTGCTTCCAGCTGCCGTCCCAGGAGGCCCTGCAGCAGTTACAGCAGCGCGTGTGGGCGCACCACCAGGCGGGCACGGCCGGCGCCCCAAAGGCCTGCGACCAGCCGGGCGGCGAGTCATCTGGTAGGCCTCTCTGTCTGTGGTTCCAGATGTCTGTATTGTTTTATATCGTACTAACAAGGACCAGGCGCCAAAGGCGTCGAGTATCCCACGCGGTTCTTTGCGCGCGACTACGCCGGTAACCGGTTGGAATTTAGTTTGTAGACGACGGTTGGAAGAAGCACATAAAACATTCCAGAATTCAGAGTCCTTGTGTCTGTTTCGTTTCGCTGTTTGTTCTCGATACAGTGTAATTACAGAGTAGTTAAGCACTGTAGCTGAGGCGTGCCGATGCTGGCCGCCTGATTGGTGAACAGCCCTGTAAGACGCTGTAGTTTGGGGGTTGATTTTGTTACAGTATCCATTGATTCCACCCGTTCCAACAACGACCATCTCTGGCCACAACACCCACGACAACCGCGACCGCCTCGGGTCTTTGGCCATCGACAGTTCCTCTGGACGATCGATCCGACGATCCTAGTCTCCCCGTCTGTTGCTGCCATGCGTCTGCGCCTCATCCAGCTGCCGCCGCTGCCGTCGTACCGTTTGGCGGCGGCTGTCCAGGAACTCGTCCGGCGGCAGTTTTTGCACGCAAAAGAGAGTGCAGGAAAGAGGGCGACGTCGTCGTCGTTGTCTTCAGCACAGTCCTCTTCCTCCTCCTCCTCCTCGATCCTCCTCTCTCTCCTTGTCCAACCGCCGCCGCCGACCGTCATCGCCTTTACCCCCCTGCCCACCTTCACACTCGGCCGCCGCCAGTCCGAAGCCCAGCTGGAACTGGCCGAGCGCGACCGCCTCACGGCTCCCTTGCGCGTGGACATGAACGCGGACGTGGACGCGGACGGCGGCCACACATACACCCCCGCCCTCATCTCGACGCTCCGCGGCGGCCTGACGACCTACCACGGCCCGGGGCAGGCGGTGCTGTGGCCCGTGCTCGACCTCAAGTCAACGCTGTTTGCTGCGCCGCTGACGGTCCGCGCGTACAGTCGGCTGCTGGAGACGACGACGGCGACGGTCTTGAAGCGGCGGTTTGGACTGGAGGCGTACACGACGGGGGACCCGGGGCTGTGGGTGGCGTCGAGGCGCGCGGCACGAGGCGGCGCGGAGGACGCCGACGACACGCACACGGAGGAACGAAAGGTGGCTGCACTGGGCGTGCACCTTCGCAGGCACATTAGCGCGCTGGGCGTGGCCGTCAACTTGGACACGCCCGTGACGTGGGCGCCGTCGCCGTCGTCTGTGTCGGCGGACGCCTCGTCCTCGACGAACCCTTGGACCCGCTTCGACCCCTGTGGTCTCTCCGGCAAAGGCGTCGCCTCCGTCGCCGACGAAGCACGTCTCCGCTTCGGCAGCGTCCCGGCCGCCTGGGACTTGCGGCCGGCGCCCTTTGCGGCGAAATGGGCAGCGGCGCTGGCGATGCAACTGGGTCTCCGGGACCCCGAGGTCGACGTGGCGGATGCGGCTACTGTACAAAGCATGCTCCGAGACGCACAAGAACTGCTCACGAGGGGCGTCACAGACGAGACATAGACATAGACTGGCGTTGCATTACTTTTGTTTAATTGACATGATACCACTTTTCTGTCCATCGGTCGTCCTGATCCTCCGCGTGCTCGACTATCCGGACCTTCTTCGTCGCCTGTTCGGTAGACTTTTCCCCATCGCCTGGCGGCGGACCTTTCCCGTCGCCTGCTCTGCAGTCTCACTCCCGGCAGGCGCGCCCTGCCATCGCGGCCATCAGGCCGTCCCAGTCCAGCCGCCCCGCCGCCCGCTGTGCCACCAGCGTCCCGTGCCAGCGCCGGTGCGCGTCCTTGAGGCCGGCCAGGGCCACCCACACGGCAAACCCGTCGCCCGGGTCGGCGCCCAGCCGCGCCAGCCGCCGCCGCGTGTCCATCAGCAGGTGTTGGTACGCGGCCAGGCTGTCGCAGGCGGCGCGGCCGGCCGTGCCGAAGCGGGCGACGAGGGCCGCGACGTGTCCTGTCCGGCACGCGCGGCGGGCCATGCAGGCGACGGCGGCGTCGTAGTGGTGGCGGGGATTTTTTGATTTTGGGGTTGTGGCCGATGGCTGTGGCTGGGGTGGCGCTCTCCGTGGGCGGCGTGGACGGCGGGCCCTCGCTCTGCGCCGACGGGCTGTTGCGCGGACTCGCTGGCCGATCGCCGCTGTCGTCCACGTTGTCCCCGGCCGCCGCCGCCCGCATCCGCTTCTGCTTCTGCTTCTGCTTGCGTTTGCGCTCGCCCTTGCGCTCCTTCTTCGTCGCCTTCTGCTTCCGCTTTCTGTCGTTGCCAGGGGGGCACATGCTGCCCTGCATCGCCAGCAGTCCCGTCAGTACCTCCTGGGCCGAGCACTGGATAATCCCTTTGGCCAGCTTGCGCCGCTCGTCCTACTGAGCATAGGCAAGGCTGTCCCGGTGCGTGGGCTTGGCGTCGCCGCCACCCCCCTCGTCGAGAAACCCGGCCAGACCGTGGTACCGCAGGTTGGCCTGCAGGCTGGTCTCCCAAGCGTCCAAGGAGTCGAGGTCGCGCAGCGGCGTTGGAGGGGGGCGTCGGGGGCGCCAGTTGCTGCCGGTCGGCGGAGGACGTCGAGCGGGGGGGGAGACGAGGACAGCGAGTGCTGCGAAGACGACGCCACGGCGCGTTGTGCCGACGAATGCTGCGACGAACCGTCCGGCTCGTCCGCTCCGCTGGCCGACGACGACGCCGACGACGACGACGACGTCCCGTTGTCCGACCAGACAGACACCACGCTGGGTGGTCTGTCTCCGCTGATCGATTGGTGCGTATTGGGTGGGCTGTTTGTTAGCACGCGTACAAGGCAGAAGCTGACACTGTCAGGGCAAATACCTCTCCCATGCACTGGGTTTTTCATCGTCGCTCTCGGGCTCCATCTTGACTTTGATGGGCAGCGTAGGTAGAGGTCGATGGGGTCGCACGGGCCGAACGTGCACAACGCGCGGCGATGACGAGACGGGCAGACCAGGGGCTGTTCCGTACCACTGCTCCATTGAGAATGGTCTATGTCGTGGCCAAGGAGATGATTAATGTTGATGGGGATGACGATAGCAAAGAGAAGGAGCCGTTTTAGATGATTGCGTTGGAGATGAAGTCAAACAGAAATGGGATGTAGAAGAAGAGCGAGTTACCACGAGGAGTGAAATTCACAGAGTCGAGAATGTTTTTGCATTTGTATGTGTTTGTATTGCCTGTGCGTCTGTGCTATTGTGCTACTCCTCTTCTGCTGTATTCACGCACGTGAAAAATACGCACGAAAATGGCCATGAAATCAGACACGCCTCAGATTTCACTCAGTTTCACGCGAGAACATACAACTTTCAAGAGAGTCCATCATGTGTAGACTGAATTCGACGTGAACCGTGACTGTAGGTTTTCACGATCGCTACACTCTTAATATGACATCCGGAAGTTGAGTATACTCATTTGTATCGTTGGACAACACATGGCCATTGTCACGCGTTGTTTTGGCTGATGTCCTCTTCCTTCTTTTTTCATTTTTTTCTTTCCCATTTTCGTTCCCTTTTATTTTCGTTTCCTTCTTCCCGACAATAGGCAGTCGTGCTGTCACTACATTGCACTTTACGCCTGTTGGCCACGCCGCACATGCCTTGCTGCGCCGTACACCGTCAAGCTCGTTGTCGACGTTTTGTCATCGCGAGTCACGGGACGATTTACTTGGATGAAATTTTGCTGCCAACTCTGTCTCGCCGTGGTTGCCTCTTCGGGACAGACGCAGAACAGCAAGTGGAGCCCATCCGTGTTTTGGGAACGACACTTAAGTGCTCCGCAAAGGAAGGATCCCAAAACGAGACTTTCATTTTGCCATACTTTGTACGCATGTTGCCACCGCAGCGTCCGACCGGACCAGGATAACGGGCGCCGTGACGTCGAGTTATGGCAATCGCAGACCAGGTGAGTCTGTGAGTCTGTGGCTTGAGGCCGGCATTCGAAGCCGACGAAGCGAAGTCTTTGCCTTCAGCGTTGAGAGCCGCAAATGCAGTAAGGCCGGCGCCTTATCAAAATGGGAAAGGCAAAGGAACAAGCGAGATGGCGCCAAGCGATAAGGGGCCTAGCGCAACGGGTCTCAACTGGAATCTACCAGGTCCAACGCGGTTCGAGCCACCCGAGTCCAGCAAACACGGTGAGGCGCAGTGCACTAACGTCCCCTGGCGTCCACTGAAGCATGAAAAATTTGCGAGTTTAAATCTAAAAAAAGACAGGGGACGGGGAGGACATGTACTTTGTGAAAAGGGACAAGCCGAGGAAAAGAAACCTTTTTAAGCTTGTTTACGCCGGGCCCGCTACGATGCGAGAACAGACAAATACAATAAGCACATGGCAAAATACAGGACAACATACTTTGTCAGTACAACATACGGCATACGGCCATCTCGTATTCATGGAGGTCGTGGATCTCGTTGCCTCTGCTGTCTCGCCTCGCCACGCTCAGTAAATCATGAGCCGAGCATCTGGCCGTGGACGCATCGGGAATCCATTGCGTCGAGGCCATATCCTTTAGGAAGCGAACGCGCGGACATGTCTTTTCACGTTGAATGCCGATATCCGACGAGAAACAGGCAACTGGAGACTGCTGGTCGAAGCATGCGACAGGCCGAGACAGCACAGTTGGGTCCTGAAATTAGCTGGTCTAGGCAGGCCCAGGCAGGCCCAGGGCAAGGCTAGGCCGAGCCAGGCACAGCTAGGCTGGCAGGCAGGTCGACGAGAGCCAAGAACTTGGCGGCCACCGCCTGTGGTAGTAGTGTCAATATGGCGACTTTAGCGCTTGTTCGATGTAGGTGCTTGGCGGCCTAGACATGCCCTTTTTTTTCAACCCCTGTCAGTTTTTATCTGCGTTTGATGTCCCCCCTTTTCAAGACCCATTGCGAGCGGCCTTCCTCGTGGTCTTCATAAGATCCTGGCCGTGCGCCTCTTTTTTTCCTTTTTGAGTTTGATTTTTCTGGTCTTCTTCTTTCTCGCTTCGTTGTTCGCGTGCTCGTTTCATTTTGGTAGTCTTTGTTCGTTTGTTGACATTGTGACCTCTCCGTCACGCGTCCCAGTCACTCGCTTCTTTCTTCTTTCGCTTTATTATTTCCTTCGTTTTTCTGTTTCTTTTCTTTCCCTCGTATTTGTGCAGCCCGCTGCGTCCGTTCGCTCGTCGGATCCCGATCTCACTACTTTGTTTTTCTCTTCATCAGCCTTGTCTCTCGCGATCCACACCTTACCTTTCCACATCTTAACTCACTGGTCCCCTGCTCTCGCCATGCCCGACCGCCCGCAGCCGTCCGCCGAGGACATTGCTGGGCCTATCGGGCCTACCATGCCGCCTCGTACTACGCCCTCGCCTGCGACCACGCCGGCTGGCTCTGTACCGGCCACGTCGCCGTCGCCCGTCCCTGTCCACCCCGACCTGGAGGCGGTGCACGATGAGGCACAGCCAGCCGGTGACCAGCAGCAGCGAGCTGTCCCCGAGGTCACGGTCGCCGGGCCCTCGTCCGAACCGCAGTACGCCACCGCCGGCGGCCGCATCCAGCAGCCGCCACGCAGCTTCAGTCCCGCGGGCGTCGGCGAGAACACGCCGTTTACGGCGTCGTACCCGCCGCACCAAGGCCAGCCGTACCAAGGCCAGCCATACCAAGCATACTACCCGCCCGCAGGCGGCTACTACCCGCCCCAGGCGACCAGTGGCTACCCCTACACAGGTGCCGCTGGTGTCGCTCCCGGCGCGGCAGATGCTGCTCTGGCGGGCGGCGCTGCCGGTGCGGCGGCGGCGGCGGCGGCGGGCGATAACAAGCCCAAGACGTTCTCGCAGCGCATGGCCGGCAGCGACGAGCACTGGCAGTGGAAGCTGGCCCTGCGCGTGGTCCTGATTGTCCTCGACATCATCGCCATTGGCGCCGCCGCAGCCGTCACCGCGAGCAACGCCAGCAACGCGTATTACAACTGGTTCTACATTGACGACTCGTACGTCGTGCCGTTCACGCTGATCCCGCTGGGCCTGTCGCTGATCTGGTGCGTCGTGGTCGTGTTGGTGCTGCTGCTGCGCCGCCCGCCGCGCGCCGTGCACCCGGGCATCGCCGTCGGCCTGGACCTGGTCCTGTGGCTGGCCCTCATCGTCACGCTGCTCTTCACCGTGGCCGCGGCGCTGTCCCTGTCCTCGTTCGGCGCGGCCAGCGCGCCGTACATTTATTATGGCTCGAGCGGCGGGTACTCGCTGGCGCCCAACAACTCGTGGGTGTGGACGACAAGCAGCAACTACTACAACTACAACCTGGCGCAGGAGACGGGCGATGTCGCCACGGCGTTGTCGGTGTCGTTGGTGTCGTCGGCCACGGCCACGACGTCGGTGGCCTCGGCCGTGTCCTCCGCTGTGTCCGCCACTGCTTCTGCTGTTGCCACTGCTGCCGCTGCGGCTGCCGCCGTCACGGCCGCGCCTGTCCTGTCGGAGCATGCCAAGCGCCAGCTCGGCCTTTCGTCGTCGGTCTCGTCCGTGTCCGACTCGTTCTCGTATTCGTACGATGACCCCTACACGCATTCCAGCTACTACGACCCCTATAGCTACGACGACCCCTACACCTACGACGATCCCTACACTCGCTCCGAGTACAATCCGTACGGCCCCGACTACACGACCGACTCGGACGGCTACTACATTTATGCCACCAGCACCGCCACCGCCGCCCGCTACACCCGCACCCGCGACTGCACCCCCGAGTTCTCCTCGTGCGCCCAGCAGGACGCCCTCGTCAACCAGCTCTGGCACGACAAGCCGCGCCGCTACGCGCTCGACCTCCTGCTCTGCATCCTCCAGGCGCTCGCCATCGTCCTCCACTTTGCCCTCTTTGTCTGGGCCTGCGTCGACACCCACCGCCGCAACCGCATGCGCCGCACCGACGCCATGACCCTGGACGTGCTGCAGGACATGCGCCAGCGGGGCTACGTCATGGTGCCGGCGGCCGACGGCGCGGCCATGGGCGCAGCAGCTGCACCGCCGGCACCGCTTGCACCGGTCGGCGGTCTGCCCGGCCACGACAGCATATACTACCCGCAGCAGCCTGGTCAGCCTGGTCAGCCGGGTGGCTGGCCGTCGTCGCCGCGTGCCGCCGAGAAAACACCAATGTCGCCGACGCGGTATGCCTAGGAGAGAGGGGGAAGAGGACGCGGAGATTTTGTCAGTGATGACGACTACTAATATTTAATTTGCATCTACGTCTGTACGGCCGGTTTTCTTGGTTTCTGTATTCTTGCATTCCTTTCTTTGTCGATACCAATTCCTAGTATGGTTGTTTGTATTTAGACATGTTGGCGTACCTTCTTTCTTTCTATCGTAATGAACAGCGCAGTTGAGCGTTTCTTTGTTGTTCTTTATTCTCTCCATGATGTTGTCTACTTTCGATTTGTTTCTGTTGCAGGACTCTGGCCCATAGCGCATCATCTGCGTCATTTGTACTCACTCTGACGACACGTCGTACAGCCTTGTCGAGATTGGTAAGCGTATTGTGCCGTCGTCAATACAGTCAAACTCTCATCGTCTGCCAATTCTGTATCTTACATGTAGACACGGGCTAGAACACGGCCGATCAGCAATTGAGTCACTGGCCGACGCCCTGACCGCCCTAGACGACACTATTACAGCGCAGCAACAATGCGCCATCGTGAAGGAGCCTGGGGGCCTGCAGGGAAGCCCTGATTAGGCAAGTGAAAGTTGACGGAAGTGTCTCAAAAGGGAAGGTCCACCAAACAATGAGGTCGCCACACTTTAACAAAGGAAACTGCCCTCCTGCCCTTTCATTCACCCGTATTACGGCTCTTACACCGTCTTACTAAGCCAAAATGCCACGGAGCTGTGCCCGAAGCTCGAACTGTAGCTTTGGAGGTTTAAGCCTGGAGACGCAATTGGTCTCCGTCGCCGACACGGCCCCTCACCGTGTCTCATCAACTCGTATTGTTCCTCTCGTTATATCGTCGCATTGTCACATTATCCCATTTGCATCTAGCCCTTCCGTCTGGCATAAAAGCCGGCAGTTTCCCAAGACTTGGCAATCGTCGGCATTGTAGATAAACACACCCACATTTACACCAGACACCACTCCCCTACCCACTGTGCTCGCTCGTGGTCAACATGGCTGAACAGCTTTTCACCCTTCCCGACGGCCGCATGATTGCCTACCGCGTCTCCGGCGCGCCTGACGGCTATCCCCTCGTCTGGTTCCACGGCACGCCGTCCAGCACGGAACCCCCGCCAGCTCTGGAAGCGGCCGCCAAGAAGCAGGGCATCCGCATCATTGCAGCCGCCCGCCCCGGCTACGGCGATTCCGGCCGCCACCCCGGCCGTCGCGTCGTCGACGCCGTGGCCGACACCCAGGCCCTCAACGACTTCTTGGGCGTCCGGGAGTGCCTGCTCATGGGCTGGAGCGGCGGCGGACCGCATGCGCTCGCCTGTGCGGCGCGTCTCCCAGGCGCCCGGGCCGCCCTGACGATTGCCGGCGTGGGCCCCGCCGACGCGCCGGACCTGGACTTTCTCGCGGGCCAAGGCGACGACAACGTCGAGGAGTTTCGCGCGGCGGCGGCGGGCGAGCCCGCCCTGCGCGCCTTCTGCGACGCCATGCGCAGCGAGATCCGCGCCGGCGGGCCCGCGGGCGTGGTGGCCGCGTTCGACACGATCCTGAGCGACGTCGACAAGGCCGCAACCCAAGACCCGGCCAACGGGCTGCGCGACTACCTCTTCCACGTCCTCGACGACGGCCTCCACGCCGGCGTCGACGGCTGGATCGACGACGACCTCGAGTTTACGCGGCCCTGGGGCTTTGACCTCGCCGAGATCGACGTCCCCGTACTGCTGTACCAGGGCAGCGACGACAAGATGGTGCCGTACGCGCACGGCCAGTGGTTTGCCAAGCACCTGCCCGCCGCATCGTTACGGGCACACCTGATTGAAGGCGAGGGCCACGTGAGCCTCGTGGCCAAGGGGGCAGAGCTGCTGACGGAGCTGGTCGCGGCGGGAGACGTGAAAGTAAAGCAGTAGGTGAGGTGAGCGTCGACATCATTCTTCAATGGAAATAAAATATATTTTGCTACACCTCATCAAGGGCCAGGTAATGCAAGTGACATTGTACAAGCTGGGAGTTTTTGACTACGTGTAGTGACCGTGTTGATCGCTGCAGGCGAAATGCCAACCGGCGGTCCAATGTTTGTTTAAATGCGTACATACATGCGAGCAACTGGCGCTTCCTGTTGGCAAGCCTACTGGCTACGCCACGCTACAGCTCCGGAGAGTCGGCAAAGTTGACGGCCACGTGCTCCGGCCGGGACGCCCCGCCCGCCACCTGCTTGCCCAGCGCGCCCAGTGTCTCCTGCTCCTCGGCCGTCAGCTCGACGCGGAGCGCGGCCAGGTTCTCCTGCAAGCGCTCCGTCTTGCGCGTGCCCGGGATGGCAAACACGTCGTCGCCCTGCGCCAGCAGCCACGCGAGGCACAGCTGTGCCGTCGTCACGCCCTTTTTCTTGGCCAGCTCGCCGATCTGGGCCACCGTGGCCACGTTCGCCTCAAGGTTCCCCTCCTGGAACCAGGGCAGGCCAAACGAGCGGCGCATGTCGCCCGTCGCGCCCAGGTCGGCCGCACCGGCAATGCCGCCCGTCAGGAGGCCGCGGCCGAGCGGGCTGGACGCGACGACGGCCACGCCCAGCTCGCGGGCCGCCGCCAGGATGCCCCGTTTGGGGTCGTCGGCGGCCTCGATGGCGCGGGAAAACACCGAGTACTCCGTCTGGACGGCCGCGATGGGGTGGACGGCATGGGCGCGGCGCAGCGAGGTGGCGCTGCACGCGCCCAGGCCAATGTACCGGATCTTGCCCTCGTTCTTCAGCGCCACCAGTGCCTCGATTGTCGTTTCAATGGGCGTCTTGCCGTCGAGGCGGTGCACGTAGAACAGGTCAATGTACGCGACGTTGAGCCGCGTCAGCGACTTGGCCAGCTGCTGCCGCGCGTACGCGGGCGACGAGTCGAATTTGATGTCGGTCGGCACCGTCATGTCGATGCCAAACTTGGTCGCCAAAAAGACGTGGGCGCGCTTCTCGGGGTTGCGCGCGAACCACTTGCCCAGCAGGTCCTCCGAGTCCAGGTACATGTCGGCCGTGTCCCAGAAGCGCTCGCCCATGGCGTAGGCTCGGTCCAAGAAGCCAAGGCGCTCTTCGTCGGAGCCGACGGCGTTGTAGGCGCCGCTGTTGTTCATGAGGCCGAGGCCGAGGCGCGGCAGCATGGGGCCATTCTTGCCAAGCGGACGGGAGGTAATAGGCGAAGCCATAGCGTAGGAGAGGATATAGATTCCTGTTTAAAGGTCAATTGGACATGTCAATGATGATGTAGAAGATTGATGAGATGCGCCGGGCTGACAGCAACGCCATCGACCTTTATATCTCGACCTAAAGCTCCTGTTAGTTACCAATTCTCTGCGTCAGACATTTTGTCAGTCTTCCAACGCACACACCATCGGCCTCCCGGGCACGAGACAGTCCGAACATGGTGCGTGGTCGGTCGTGAGACGTCTGGTGATGGACATAAGCTGGGTTCAGTATCGTGTAAGTGAAGTGTACACACTTTGGTACTGTGTACAAACCACACACTTTAAATATGGTTGACAGCATGTACTTGTACAGTCCAATACAGTGCATATTGGCACTCCACTACGAACACTGTCCACTTACACTGCACCGCAAAGTCCGGATGCCGTCATCTGGTAGTGAGCTGCACCACGCCTGCATCTCATGTCAGCGCTCTCGACCGCCGATAAATCCGCCGATACGTCCAGTTCGAGGAATGGACGGGTAGGCGATAATGGACGATGCATAAGAAATGGACAGGGCATAAAGAGAGTGTTTTCTTTGTCACCACCCAAAATAAGGAGCCGCCAACGGCCAGCGACTCTTGCCGCCTTGGAATTGAATGGCCAGGCCCGGGTTGATTATGAAACAAACATGCAAAGCACATAAAGAGGCGGTTCGACGGATGTTTTCCCGTTTAAAAGCAGACTGGAGCCTGCATCGCCAACTGCCACTCATTTCTGTCAGAGCAGCCGCCGTGGAGTGCATGTAGAGTGCTTGGCGTGCTAGACGCGCTGAATGCGCTAAATCAACAGACCACTGTAAATGTTGAGCCAGGGGTCGATTGGTTCACAATTGTCCCTGACGAGAAAAACGTTAGTGGACCACAGCCCTGCACGGCCCTGCACGGCCTGGACGGCCCTGGTATTAGGCGACCTGGTGTGAGTGGGGGCTTGAGGCAAGCCAATCAGCACGCCAGCGGCCCTGAACGACAAAGAGCCGCGGGCGGTCTTCTGGACAGGTCTGTTCTCGATTGTTACAAAACAAACGACGTTGTTCACACTCTGAAGCAGCGACGGCACCGTCGGCGGCAATCGAGACAATGGGAACGCTGTCCGTGAGGATGTCTGCTGTTTTTAGCGTGGGCCTTTGTTTGGGTCGCACGAGCAGGAGAAGTAGTGTTTGGACCAGAATCGACGTTGAACGAAGGAATTAAAAAGGAAGGGAATAAGAAAGAGGAAGAGACAAGACAAAGGCCATGACATGGTCGGCGGCAATGATGCCTGTCACAAAAGAGAGTCAAGACAGATGGCAGTATGGCAGACAACGAGATATAAAGATAGAAGACCCGTCATTTGAAAAGAGAGAAGCCGTACAACTCAATCATTGAATTTCAGTCTCAATCCATTTTCCTTTTGTTTCCTTTTGTTTCCTTTCTTTACGTCTTCGTTTCCTTCTGTCGACATCAATCTGCTGGTCATTTTGATACCACTCGCTTCACGCAATCACGGTTACGACCACACGATCACTCTCATTTCTTTACTGTTTGTTTCCATTGCTACGTTTTTCTAATTCATAATGCTGGCTCGCAAAGGTATGTCACCGGTCCTCCCTCCCCATCCCCATCCCATATCCGTCCCTCTGCATCCGCTAACTCGTCCCAGACTTCCGCCAGGGCATCGCCGCCCTCCTCGCCATCTGCATCGTTGTCTTCTACATTCTCGTTCTCGTCGGCTGCATCTCCACCTCGCCCGGCATTCCCGGCCTCTACGTCGTCCGACTCGCCAACAACGCCTCCAAGGCCGAGGTCCACGTCGGCCTCTTTGGCCTCTGCGCCGGCACCGACCCCGTCAACCTGACCTGCTCCGGCACCGTCGCCCAGGCCATCGCCGTCAACGCCTCCTCTCCCTCCACCAAGTTCTATTTGCCCGGCACCGCCACCGTCGCGCCCAACGCGCTCCAGCCCCTGCTCACCCTGGCGGCCGGCATCCAGAGCGGCAGCACCGGCCCCGGCGGCGTCCTGTCCATTGTCTACGTCCCGCTCTTCCTCAGCGCCCTCTGCTTTGTCGGCGCCGCCGGCAGCCTGCTGACCCACCGTCTGGCCTCCCGCGGCGCCGACTCGGCCGACCCGGCCGACTACGCCGACGAAAAGGGGTTCGTGCACACCCGCAACGCCTGGCACGCGGCCGTCCTGCTGACCACGGGCGCCATCATGTCCGCCCTGGCCGCGGCCATTGCCACCACCGTCGCGGTCCGGGCCCTCCTGTTTGCGGGCACGTCGCTGCCCGGCAGCGAGATCTCCAACGCCGCGACGGCCATTGACGTCTCGGGCGGCAAGTCGATCCAGGTCCTGGAGTGGCTGATTGTCGTGCTGACCATGCTGTGGCACCCGGTGCTCGAATCTGTCTGGCGCAGGATCCTGTGAGGGTGTTGTAGTTGATGGAAAACGTTGCTGCATCATCCTCTCCCTTACTCTCCTTTTCCTCTTTCCTTTGTTTGGGACAATGCTCACTCGTGTAGATAACGGCTGTGCTGTACAAAGGCGTCATTGTTTCCTGGGTGGTCTTTTGATCTTCTTGTTGCTTGTCTTGCTTTGTTGTTTGGTTGCCTCCTTTGTTCTGTTTGTTTCAACATACAATAATTATCAGATACGTCTTGGATTGACTTTTTGCATTAATGAACCTCAAATGAAAAACTATTCGATGCATTTCACCTCAAGTGTCATTTTGCCTTTATAAATTCATCAAATATTAGTTTACTGCTCTTGGATCATCTACTGCATTGAAATTCATCTCGCAATCAAACTGTCGTCACGCAGGACTCAGGACAACAACACCACCACTTACTCGTCTTTCGTCTCAAGTCTCCTACCACGTTCGTGTCATGACTACCTCACCGTAGATTGTCTCACACTCAGTTTCTGCATGACATTAAATTGTAGCCGTGACAAATTCTATCTGACAAAAGCGAGATTATGTTGTTGGCACGTAGCTGCTAACTATTTTGTTTACATAACCGCATTACCTCACAGCCAACTCTGCCTCACTTTTAGTTTGCTGAGCACTTGCACATGCCAATTCCTACGCACTCACATCCTCCCTCTTCACGCCGTCAACACCGCTTCACATGTCGTTTGATCTTTGCTCACTTGTCGTTTGTCACTCCCCTGCCCTCTGTTTGTCACGGCTGATTGCGCGGACCTCCTGCCTCCGCGGCCGCCCACCTCTGGAGTATAAATATCTGGCGTCGCCCACCTCCTCTCGCACTCTCTCGACCCTCCTCTCTCCTCTTTCATCAACCAACTTCGCTCTTCGCCAGTGTTGGTGATTTGCCACTTTTTTTGTCACACTCTACGCTCATACATTTCTCTTACACTTGTCCGTTTGCATTTCCTTTTACAATATACTTGTTCTCCACGGCATATTCTCCACAGCCATATGTCATACTGAATGCTGCAGTTGCGTCTCACTTGATGAGCACAGCGAGGAAGATGATACACAGTGCACGCGATCAAAACTGGTGAGTCCACAGTCATTTAGCCACTGACAGCGTACTTTGTACTGAAGAGTGCCATTAGCTATTGCTGTGATCAAAGTCGTCCCCCTAGTGATCACCTTACATTGTTGCCGTCTTTCTGGACATGAACCAGATGGCGAATAATTGCCCGTTTATTCCATGTCTACGGCCCATGTACATTGCCGACCCCAGCTGGTGCTATCCGACAAAATCATGACCTCATGAGTATATCCAAGTCGTCAGATGACCCAGGAGGGTGCCGGGAGGTGTGAGACAATGCGTCGTTAGATGGCAGCATATTTACCTGGGAAACGCAAACGTAGTATTCGGGCACTCGCAACACCTCTCACAGACGTTGAACAGGAGACTGCAAACAACAGGGCTACCATTTACGCAATGAAACAGGGCTCAAAATTGTTGTTCCTTCCGTCCACTCGCAGAGAACAGGGCCAGATTCTTTGCAAACTCCGACTTGACGTCACGTCCTGTTCCAATTCATGATGCAGATGCATCGTATCGACAAGGGCACTGTGGAAGAGAGACACGGCGTCACCTTTACAGGCTTCATGTGGAACCAAGTGTCGGCAGTTTTCGTCGACGAACTGAGCCATCGGCACAGACTCATCGAGGCCAGCGACAAGAAACAACAAACCCGATCCAACAAATACTCCCGGCCTTGTCCGATCAGGCGACCAGTAACACCGTAGCACTACTTCGCATGGCACGGGATATGTCAGGCATCCATGCCATGGTCCAAACCCTACAAGAGAATGTTTTGGACGTCCAAAATCTTCTCGACGACCTCCAGACAACTCCCGCGGCCATGCCAGCCAGTGCCACACCACTCTCAAGTTTCATGGCACAACAACCGGGTACGCAGGCCGGCTCACGGCTCTCTCAGCACACCACGGCCTCCTTTGAGTCCTGGAGTAATCTACGAGACACATCTCGTACGACTGTGACGATGCGCTTCCAAGGCCACATTGCCGCATTCGCCACCCAGGCCCGGCCGTCCTCGCGTACCAGTCACGGTACACCGTACAACGGGCTCGTCCCCAGAAAAACAAGACTCGGTACATGACACGGGACCAATTGCATGGACATATCTCAACTATGGCCCACACGTCCTCAGTTACCCATGGAGAAATGCAGCATGTTTGTCAACGACCTGTAATGAAGTTTATCGGCAGACATAATCCAGTGCAGAGCAGAAACTCGCCCAATCGGGACTGACATGAAGCAAGCACCCGGAGTCAGAGATATGTGACAGTGACGTCAACAGCCATGTGTGTCTGCTGACCACAATGTCAAGTATTGTCCCCGCCACCATTTTGTCTGGTCACAGAGAATAAGTTGGCTCTACCGTCGAAAGTATGGTTGTACGGCGGTCACTATTGATCAGCAAAGATAGCAAAGTAAAATGATGACGCCGGCTATGTGCTCTTTTCTGTCTTATGAAAGCGCCCACAACCACCACATTCAACACCATGGTGGAATGGAAACCTCTCCAGCACCAGTTTTCTCGATCTGGAGTTGGCCACTGTGCGAAGCGTTATCGGTAAGCGGAACCCAAGACGCTATGAACAGCTGCCGACATGATTTGGAATACTGGTTGCGAGTATTGGCCAAACGTCCACGACGTCGAGGTGTTCGCCCCGGCATGGCTTTGAAAAGACGGAACGAAGATAGCGAGGCATACACATGAGAAGAAACAACACCGAGGAACAGACGGAACTTTAATAACCCGAGTGTGTCCTGCTTTGGAAATAAATACAATCAGGATTTCAGATACTCTGTCGAGATATCGAAAGCGGCTCTGAAACTTGGGACGACATGCTGTTGGTGCCGCCGCAGGGAGACTATTGGACCAGCAGACGAGAGCAAAGACCAAGACAGCCAAGGCAATTGCACCTTATGCAGTGATGATGTCCATACTCGCAATGGTTGCACTGGTGCCAAATTTGACACAAATGTCCACGGACCGCATGATAACGGCCATATCGGCGGTGCTGTCGTACCTCGTTAACCCCACTTATCCGGAGGAAGTATGAAATTATTGCCGGCGTTACCTGGGAGGCAGTGAAAGTCATCTCCCATTACGGTTCATACAACAAGGACAAACTATCAAATCATACCAAGACCCTATGATGAGAGCCATTCTACTATGGAGCATGACAATTTCCTGCGTTGATTTTGCGCGGAACTAAAGGGGGGAAATTGAGATGCTGGCTACGTCCATCAAAGCAACTAACAAACTGTTACCCAAGATGAGGGCAAAGAATGAATTGTATGCAGATATGCCCCCCTGTCCCATGGAGCTCGGTACGAACGGCCTCTGACTGAACGTCCACTCACTTAATGTTGCACACCTGGCCACCTGTCACAATGTCAGCGTGAAACATCTGCTGCGGTGATTTCATGCCAGTGATGCCCTCGTTGTCTGCGATACAGTCGGACATCAAGAAACCCAACATAGGTAGTTGTTTTCAAAAGTACAGCTTGTTTTCTTCCCATCCCTCACAAGCGCCTCCTGCAACTCGACCGTTTTCACAGTCTACTCGCAAGGTAGTCGCTTTTCAACTCATCACAATCACCATGCCTCCCTCCACGCCTGGCCGGCCTGCCGTCGGCTCACTCCATGGCTCGCCCACTCCTCCCTACACCAGCCAGGTGACGGTGTCGGAGGCGGGTCAGCGGGCTCGTGCCCGCCCTGCTGTACTCCGCGGGCGACGCCGCGCCCCAGATAGACGCGACCCCAGGTACGTAAAAACAAAACGCCCGGTCAAACGAGACACACAAACTCATCTTCAAGTAGTCGTATCCGTCGGACGCGAGATGCAAACGAGCGCGGCCGTCGTACGCAGCCAGGTCACTACAACCATAGACGTCTTGTCGTGGGAGCCGGCGTCTACGGCGGAGCTATAGGCTTTTTTAGAGGCCGGACACGTCGACGATGGGATAGGTCGGTACGAAATGGTCCGTGACGAGTTGTTATGGCTGAACACCAACTGCGACAGGTGGATGGCCCACTTTGACGCCCTTCTTTGTGAACAAAACTGGTACCAAGATTTGCGGAAATTAGTCCTCGCTTTGAAGACATCAGTCCTCGCTTTGAAGACAACGGAACAGGCAGACCCATACGCCGATAAATGGCGTCTTTTTATACTATGGCCGACGGGCCTGGCCGCGCCGACAAGGTATGTTGGCAACGGTCCGACGGACCTGGTCTGCGGACGTCGTCTCGTACTACGGTCTAGACACGACCAGTGACCATTTGCTAAATGCTCTTGTGTACTTGTGTCGCGCACGTACGTCAGCCCGATACAAGGTCTCCGGGCGACTATGAGCTTCCTGTCTCCATGTCTGGGAATACTAGCCAGATACGCCACGAAGCTGGAGACATCTTATCCAGAACGAAGAAGTCGGATGTTAACAATGGGCAGGCATTTCTTCACCTATGTGTTCTGTTCTTTCCATCCCCAGAAATATATCTCACGATGACATGGTCGTCCGAGCTGATGATATGGACATCCACGGCCGTCGCCAGACCTCCGATAACGCCGACGCGCCAGCCACGCCAGCAACGCCAATCAAATGTAAAGCGAAGGGGCCATTCCCTGACGCCGCATCCTACGGTGCCTGCAGTCCCCAGCCGATGCCTGCCCTTGGCATGGGCCCTCAAAGGACATTGCATCAAAGCACGCCTGCAAGATGCCCGGGTCTTTTCTGAAAGCGTGGTGTCCAACCTGGATGGCAGTCCACGCCCTTTTCCTGCGTTCTGTTAAAGAAGAGCAAGCAGTCCTCTGCATTCCCAAGAAACCGTATACGGACTGCGGAGTAGTATTTCATCTTCAGTACTGGATAGCATCATCTGGAATGTTGCAGTTTACCGTTGATACGGACGGCGCCGCATTCTACGCAGAGGGAATGCTGTTCGTTAAACGAAGGGCCACGAGTCGACAAAGCCACGGTGCTTCGCCAGTCCAGCCATGGCTTCAGAATACATTCACGATATAGTTTCTGGAGCCAGAACAAATCGGCAAAACGGATGACATATACCAGAATTACAACCATCGTAGAGATTATGTTCAAATTGAAAGACGTACTCGCATTGTCACGCCATCCGCCACTCACAAGTTAGCCATCGGCTTTTTCAATGTCAAACATCATGCAGGTCCAGTGATCCTGAGTAGACCAGTTCGTGGCATCAAAGAGGTCAAACTCATGAACTCCTCCATGAGCGTGTGCCTGGTCATGCAAGTTCTGTGTTCAGCCTACCCACCACTCCGATGTCTTGTTACCAAATGGTGGCAACATCCATAGGCCTAGCTCATCTTGCCGGCCTCCTGTTGAAATCCATCGTCACAACATTGTGGCCCGTCACGGAAAGCATCGACTTCTATATTGGGGATAGAAACGTTTGGACGAGAAGTACCGCCAGGTCACACACTTCCGTTACGGTCCGCTCACATCGATGAAGTTAGAGTGTCAGTCGGTGCTATTCACAGCTTCGTCGGTCTTTTAATTTTAAAGTATTTCAACAGCTGTACCCATCCGCTGTCGGCCAAGAGACAGATTTGCAATGAAGAAACAATGCCTTCCTTGGAAACATGACTGGCACCATTCACAACAGTGGCAGCGGCCATCCGCCTCATGCACAAGTGACTTGCCATGATTTGATCGTGGACGGACTTGATATAGTAGCAGCTCAACATGATGTTAACTTCCGATGACGACCCAACCACTCAAGTCGTCCACCTCTCCACATCTTCCGAGAATTTCGACTCTGACACCGGTTCGACCAGAGCGGGCATGTGGGCATTCCTTAATGTGGGCGCCATATCTATCAGGTCTTTGTCTTGGGCGCCAAGCCAGGACTGTCTGCACTATGCCAGGCCAAGTTCAACCCCAGGATCTCCTTTTGTCAGTTTCCTGTCAGTTTCCTGTCGATCGGAGGACGATCAAAATGCACTTTTTTCAGAAATGGCGTGCTCTTATCACCAAGCATGGGCAGCTCACAGACGACTGTAAAGCCGGTCAAGTCAATATAAACCGCTCCAGGAGCCTTGTCACCATCGGCATCTTCCAAGGCGCGTTCGTTGAGAGAAGAGAAATATTGCATGTGCCCAGTCCCCCCGGCCCTCACCACCTGGCGGCTCCCTCGCCGCCGCACGGCGGCGGCGTCGACGACGACGACCTGGGCGCGGTTGGCGCGCCTGTCGCCCCTGCCGCTGCGACTCCCGCTCCCCTGGCCCAGGATGTCGCTGGGGCCATCATAGTGCCCAGCGATCTGGCATCGCTCCCCTGCTACCGCTGCTTCAGAGCAGCATTTTCGGGCTCCGGCCCGCTGGCGGCCCCGGCCTGCAGCATTCCCATGTTGCGAGCACTGTTCCCATCACTACATCCAATTCCATCCCCAACGGACCCGGGACACAAAATGCGGTCGCTTGCATATTCGACCAGACATCAGGAGTGCGACAGCGCCGGCAACATAACCGTGAGCAGATAAAACAAGGAACGCCTCTCATCATCATGTTGTACCAACAAATATTCACACATGATCACGAACGAACAGACGATTGTGAAGATATGCTGTTGGAACGTGGAGATGTGAAACAGTATCAGACATCAGTCAGCGAGTACATCACGTGTCAATATCCCTGTGGAAGATATTGACACGTGATGAGTTGTCCCCCCGTTTACTCCCTTTCATTTATACCATTACCTCACAATAACACGATACGAGCTTTCTCGTTTTACTTCAAGATGACTGTGGCCACAACTAGAAGTTATAGCGAAAAGCGAAAAGCTCGCCTAGCTGAACACCAAGCCAACCTTAAATCAGATGAAAGAATTGCGAACAGGACAATGGCTACAGAAATTCTTCAACGTCGTATCTCGGCCACAACAAGGTATCATCAGCAGGTCACACTGTCGTCTTTTATTTGCATCCAGTCACGCGGTGCTTTAGCTAGCAGATAGAAGAAGATTCAATCATCTTCAATCTACTGTAAAGGTCATAACTTCCGTGACAGGATCCATAGTCTTAGCCCTGACTTGGCCTGTTTTGCCAACTGACCTGTTAGCTAGATGTCAACTGACAACCGACTTTGTGCCTAAGGACCAGTCGCTTTAGTTAGTAGATAGAAGAAGAATTAACAACCATCTATCAACTACTATAGCTACACTGCTTTATGTTATATTTTTGGTACCTCCAGCAACAGATACCTGCGGATGGTTTCATGGAGCAGGACGAGATCTGCCAGTTGCGACCGTTGGGGTGTTGTTAATAAGGATTTTCGACAGCGTTACATGCCCCGTCCAAGGAATCCGATGCTCTATTTTGTCACGCAACGATGATACGTGAATTGGGCCGCCCACTGCAGTGCCACTTTACGCTGTTACTCGATGACCCCACGCACAGCAACGACTACCAGCGCCCAGTGGACGGTGATGGGACTTGGACTGTATAATTGATGCGGCTCTGCAACAGGCAGCAGCCAGCCGCGGCGGGAATCAGGTGAGAATGTGAGTTGCGTCGCGGGCCATACCTGCACATCGAGGCAATATCGAGGAACGACAAGTTGGGGGCGGAAAAGGAAGGGCCTTCAGCGTTAGGAAATGCTTCCTCCAAACAGCACAAAACATAAATAGGCAGCCTTCTCGTGCTTTTTCAGAAAGGGGGAAGTTCTTTTCTAGCATGTTTATCCCTGTATATCTTTTGCCGGTCTTCGTATCGCATGTTCAGAGTACGCAGCAATGTTCACGTTTCGAACTTACATTGTGCCGAAAGAGTGCCAGCGCTACCTTTTTGATAGCCGTGAGAGTCCATATGCAAGAAGCTCCGTGTACACGATAAAGTAATAATAAAACACAATTGCAACGCATAAACGTAAACGCCGTGTCCCAAATGGCCCCTCCTTTCCCCAAATCACTGCATCCTCTATGGCCACATCATGTCCATTGTCTGGCCGTGCAGGCCGCAAATGACGCTCGACAGATTGTCCCGGTGCATCTCAAAGCTCGCATTGGTAAACGGCCGCCATGGATTAACCTGGTTCGGCCCCGCATCGGGCATGGACGACCGCCGCAGCGCCAAGGTCATGCTGAAGGTGCTCTGACCGAAGCCGGTGAAGTAGCTGGAATACAGCAAGACCTGGAAGTCGATGACAGCATGGCCGTCCCAGGTCAGCGTCTGGTAGGCGGCCACATCGTCGTCGTCGGCCAGCACATCTTCCTTGGTGTAGACCGTCAGGTTGTGGGGGGCGGCGTCGGCCTTGAATTTGGCGACGGACGCGGGCGTGCCGGCGGCCAGATAGATGGTGGTCAGATTGCGCTGGACGGCCTCGTGGAGGTAGACCGGCGCCTGGGCGTCGTAACCCGGCCAGTGCATCTTGGCGGCGTCGCTGTCGGCGCGCAGGTGGGCGCCCATGAACGAGTGGGGCAGGACGCGGCCGGGTTCGAGGTGGTTGATGAGCGAGACGTTGGCTCGCTGTGGCGGAGGGCGCGTTGGCGTGAATAGGGGCTGGCGGATGGGTGGCCCGTAGATGTCGGCGTACAGGTCCGGGAACAGAATGGCTTCCGAGACGATCGGCTGGCCCGTCTTTTGCTCCAGGCCCCAGAGCGCCGCGGCCCCCAGACGCCGCAGGCTCGGCTTGAAGCGGAACATGCGCGTAAAGGCAAAGGCAAACTGCTGGTCCATGGACGCGCGGTGCCACGCAAACAACAGGCCCTTGCCGAGCACGCGCAGCGGCTTGTCCGGCGACAGGGCCGCCAGGTCCTCGGGCTTTGTGTGCCTCGCCAGCCAGTCCTCAAACAGGACGCGCCAGGAGCCAATGTCGACGACGGTCAGACGCACAATTTCAAGACCGGGAATCTGGTGCGGTGTCAGGGCGCGGCCGCCCTCGAGGTTGGGCACCTCGTCGGCCGAGTGGACGACGCGGACTTGCGGGCAGGCCTCCCGCCACGTCTCCATAAAGTAGTCCAGGTCGTACAGCAAGGACATGTCGGTGGTGTTGCCCCGGTTGCCGTTGTTGATGAGGTTGTTGTCGTCGCGCATGCCGACCCGAGGGAGGACAATTGTCGTGGCTGTCAGGTCAGTATTTTGCAACAAAAAGCAAAATTTTGTGCCCGTACCACAATCCACCCACCCTCCCCGTATTCTCGTACTCACCTCCCGATTCAATGCCAAACAACATGCACCCGACCCAAAAGTTGCCCAAGTTTCCCAGACCACCCTGGGTGTAATCGCAGTGCCACACCAGCCCGGGCTTTTGGACCACCATCCGGCACCGGTTCTGAATGGGTGCGACGTCGACAAGCCCCTCGACCGGGTTCCGCATCACGGCATCAATGTATTCGTCCTTTGTCAGCCGGCGTCGTGCTTCGGCAAACGGATCCGTGTGCAGCTTTCGTCCCACAAAGACGCCCGTGGCCCAGCACATTAGCAGCAAGGCCACGGCCATCGACGTCAGCGCAAGCCATCGGCGGCTAGGTGTTGCCAGGCGGAGGAATGGCTTCTCCTTCCGGCTTCTGGCTGCATAACTCTCGCGTTGTACGCTGTCTGATGGCGACGGCGGCGAGTCTTGTGCGAGGCGCTGGTAGGAGAAGGAAGAGGCGTGGGTTCGGACGAAGTCGTAGGCCCAGCTGGTCCCGAGGGCAATCTGTGCCGTGACTGCGTCGACCGTCTCCATCGAGAGTGTCTTCGCGTGGTATTTTCAGAGGCCCCTGTCCCTTAAAAATGAAAAGACGGAAGAAAGAGTTGGACAGTAGAGCACACAATGACGGAAAAAAAGTCGAGTGAGCAGCACAGTCGTTTCATTTCCTACCTCATGTCCTCATTTCCACGTTTCTCCCTCTCCCTATGCACACCCACGTCCTTTCTCGCCCTCTAGCAAACGCCATGCATTTCGTATATGCTTTCTGGGATATGAGAATCCAGCGCGTCGTTGTTCACTGCCGATAGGCGTCGGCTCGGCCAATATTTTGCGGCTGTTGGGCTTTCCCCTTAACTGGGTTGGGGGCGCAGAGTGGCTGCAATTGACGAGAATCATTCGTCGTCTGCGGCACAACTGTCCCATGAATCCACTCTTCCCTGACAGAAACTATTGATCGATATCCCGAATAATCTGTACCGTTGTGGTATATTGGCGGCCACTACTGCTCGGCCGAGCGCTAACTAGGTAGCATATTCAGCTCCGAGAAGGGGCAGGAACGTGGCATTACAGGGATGGGCCATTTTTAGCCATTCGAGAGGGCGGGCCGGTTCAGAGATAAGACAACCAATACAATATTGACAGCCCTGTCCTCAGAAGCGAGGCAAAGAAAATATGCCGTTGAGAATTGTGACCAAATGTGGCCCAAGTCTTTCATGTACAGAGGAATGCCCAGGGCCAGGCCCAATCATATGCATCAGAAGCACAACTGAGAAATTATTTGGGCGCAATGCGCCTCCCTGTGTTTTCTTAACGTTCGATTATACCCAGGTAAGCAGCGGCATTGGTTAGCATCAATAACGACCGGCAGCATGACACATGATGACGGCTAGATCGGACCGGTGTAACGTAGAGTAGATACGCCCGGCGCCAGGCAAGTCCCGTTGCTGTACCATCTTGCCATGAATCCGAATGCAGGCATTCCTGTCGATTAAGGTGTAGACCGTATGGTCTCTTCAAGGCATATGTTGCAAACTGCGACGAAGCGATGGCAAAATTACGTGCTATAAAGGGAACGAACCGCACATTATAAAATAGAAAGAGAAAGCAAAAGACTACATCACCCGTCCGGACCAACCACTGCCCATGCAGGCGACAACATCGGTGTCGCCATCTATCCTTCCCAATGTTACTGCTGGTCGAAATCATGGAGACTGCCTCTGCTGTACCGTTCTCGTTCGCTGGCGATCAAGAGCCGTTCGCACTTTCACCTTCCACTGCTGGTCCCGTGTCTTCTTCAAACCATTTGTCATATCTTTGTCTGCTCCTTTGGGCCCATGACGACTCATCCGGCACCGTGGGTTGGTACACAGCCATCAAGTTGTCGCGCGGTCGAGCACCGGGCATCACACGTCTGGCCTGGTATTGTACCTCTCGGCTCTTGCGGTGTCCCTTGATTAAAGCAAAATGTGTGGCGGCTGTCGCAAAATGGTTTATTTTTTCTGTTTTCTATTTTGCCTCGGTATGCCACGTCTCTTGCTGGTTTGCTAGTTTTCCACAATTCGTCGCCTTAATACCATGTTGTGATAGGATGTTCAAATCGATTGTCTGCAAACAGTTTACTGCCGGCGTCAGGACCGCTGAGATCGACAATGCCAGTGACAACGGCCAGACCGGTTTTCTCGGTCCGTCTGCCGCTCATTCATCACAGGGCAGAAGTGAATTGCCGGATATACTCTCCACTAGGGCCGTGACAGTTTCCCAATCAGTCGACTCCTCTTCACCGCGGGCAAAGTCACAACAGCTTGACAAGTACCCGCGAAGACCAAGACGGCCATAGCATGCGCGTCTGATG